CTCTGCACCATGCTTTGAGCTAATAGCTTTATTTCCACACACCACCCAGGGTTCTAGGAGGAGGGTCCTTTTTTTGCTAACACAATGAGGCCAGCACTTTGTTTGTTTTGGTGGAGTCTTTGTTTGCCCAGGGAGCCCAGCATGTATAGGGGGAGGAGGGGCGGAGAGGCTGCTTTTGTCTGCTGTTCATTTTGTTGAGGAAGGCAAAATGTAGCTCTATGACTTGAAATAAAAACAAGTTGGACTTTATATCTCTGTTCAATCATCTTTCTTATATTTGAGGTTTATTGTGATGAACTAATTTGTCATAAAGAGGAATTATATGTGGACATAAATCCAATTTGTGATGGGTATACTTTGGTGGGAACATACGCCTACTGCCATGTATAGTCAAATTTTAAATCGAAATAAGTACAGTTTAAAATAGAAAAACATTTCTATTGCATTTTTGTTTTATTTCCAAAATTATTAAACAGTTACCCAGATTTAAGCTACGTGAGTTGAATGCTCATAAGCTTTCAACTTTCACCTAACCTTCAATAGGAGTTTTGTTGTTTCCTTCAATAGGAACAAAGTTAGGCCAATGCTGAGAATATTTGAGAGTCCTACCCTTTATATAGAATATACTTGTAGCCCCTTTGAGCCATCAGTGTATATAATGGCTGGCTGCATCTGATTCCAAAAGTTATTTTGCATGATTAAGAATAGCACAATTTAATTAATGTATCTCTATCTCAGGAGTGGCCAATACTGGCCCATAGGCCAGATATGGTTTCCCAGGGTTAGCCCCGGTGGGCTGCCATTACTATATTTTACCTCCACTTCCATAGGTACGGATGATTACAGCTCCTACTGGCTGCAGCTCATCATTCCCGGCCAATGGGGAGTGCAGGAAGTGGTGTTCCAGTCTGCACTACTTCCCACAGCTCCCATTGGATGGGAACAGCAATCTGTGGCCAATGGGAGTCATAATCACTCTAACCTGTGGATGCGCAGGTAAATATAGTGTCGCATCCTGCCAGGGGATAACCTTGGCAAACTGCCACTATTTTATTGTCCAATCCTGCTCTAACTTATATCACTTGGGGCATTTTAAATTGTTTTAAAAATAATAAACAGAATTTTGCATTCAAGATTCGCTGATCCCACATCAGAGAAACCAAACTGTGTGCTGTGTTTTGCAGCTATCTAAGCAATATATGCTTGCAGCAGCATTACTGATGTTTGGAGAAACTAACAAATATGTATAGAAATATAGTTGTTTGAGAAAAGCCGAAATAAACTAAAGCAATACCAAATGATCAAAGTTCTTTTCTAACAAATAGACTACTGAATTTGTCAGAAGGAAAAGATTATATTTCATGGTGAATGTTAAATTCAGCTTTTTTGGTGTAAGAAATGTCAATGTATTTTAATGGATGATAAAGTGAACATATTCATCATGACATATGAAATACCATAAATCTACCGTAAAAGACTTTTAATTTTTCAAGGATCTTTAAATGTGAAGTGTTTATCTGCTGGAACGGGGAAATGGGGGGTGAGTGATACGTGGAAAGGAAAGAGAATTCAGGCATTTTATGGCATAGTGAATGAGTAACAAATCCTCAGTTGGCATATCTCTACTGAATTTTCAGATAAATAATCATTTGAGCCAAAATTTGTAAATGTTTTGGGATTTGCAGACATTTTCATCAAACTCCAGAGTCGGCTGAATACATATGAATAATTTTCACCCCTAAAACATAGTGAATTGACCTTAGTATATATGTTCAATAAAGTTTTTGAGATTTTATTTTTAATCAACTACTGCTACTTGTATAGATTCACTGGATAACTATTTGATTGAAGAAGCTCATCTAGCTGTAAAACTTGCCAACTCATCTTATTTCCCCTTTGTCTACTAAAATATGATTGATATCCCATGTTTATTTCCTCACATTTTTCATGCATGGTACTCTTGGTACTTCTGTAAATGTTCTTACCACTGGAGTCTTTGGTTCATTTCCCCTTTTTACTTGCTGTCACAATAGTTAAATAACTTCTTACACAATGAAGTTGATGATCATTTTTGCTTGCTCAAATCTTTACTTCACTACAAAATTTCTAATGTGAAACAGAATCTTACAAACTTATGTTTGATATATTTAAAACAAAGATATCTTACTGCCCCTATCTTTTACCCTTTATCATGGAAATTGGGGCTTTGTAAATATTTAATTTAGTTTTCTGTCATGTTTCATGTTTCTGTTCTCTGTCTCGGTTTATTCCTTCCCTGCCCTTACAGTATCACAATCTTCCCAAACTGCCTTTTCCAAGCCATCGTTTCATGTTTCTGTTTCTGTCTCGGTTTATTCCTTCCCTGTCCTTACAATATCACAATCTTCCCAAACTGCCTTTTCCAAGCCATGTTGCCAACACATGAGACAAAGGAATTCCTTGGCATGACAGAACTTAAGAGCAGATAGGGTAGCTGATGGTATAAATGATACCAACTGTATTTACTCTTCTTTTCTGATTTTTCTCAGACTTCTGCACTACCTCCTTCCCTTTCCTGTCATGCCTCCCCATTTGATACTGAGCACTGGTAATCATGTGGATGACATTCAGTTTGAGACCTAGTGATGCAGCCAGCTGTATCTGGTGACCTTCAGCTCCACCTTCATGTGTGAATCTCATAATTTTCATGGCAGAGAGGATTTTTTCACTTATAATGGGACTGGCAAAACTACTCCATATGGAAAATATCTTTCTTTGCAACAAAAATACTACATTTTGCTTTTAGTTTAGGATTTTTCATGCAGTTCTTCATATATAGTATATGTTTTTGCATTATTCAGCTTCTGCCTTTACCTTAGTCTTCATTTGTGGGGTCATATTATGTAAAATAGGAAAATAATATTTTGTTGTGCTTGGATTGACCTGGCATTTTAACAATGTTGAAATGGTGTGCTGACAATTTTGTCAGGCTAAATTTAATGGAGTTTCTTAATTTGTTAAAATTTCTCTGGAAAAAATGTAGAATTATACAAATATGTGGAGGTCTTTTTACCGATAAGTAATTCTTGTTTGTATACTGGTGTGCCAATAAAATGTAAATATTCAGGGAAAACACTGATTTTATTTTGGTTTTTTCTTGCAATGGCTCATTCAGATTGGCTGTTTTTTTTAAAGAGAAGTGTAGCTTTTAGCAGTGGCCAGTCACTGAAGTGACTATCACCACTGAATATCTAATCAGGGAATATACTATTAATTTACCTTTTTCCTTCTGAAAACACATTCATATTTTCATTAATAAAGACAGATTTTAATATTTTATGGGCTGAATAATTATGGAAAAATTGAGGTTCAGTGCCTACATTTTCTGAACCTTTAACTGTTTGATGTTTGAATAAAATACCATAATTTTTATCATTCTCCTCATCAAGTGAATAGACTTTGTTCTTTGGCTGGTACATTTTATTGATGCTGCTTTACAGTAAATAGTGGAAAGTATGAATTATTTACAGACAATAGTTTATATAAATGCTAATGAATGACAGAGACTTAACTTTCACCCTTATGGACAGAATGAGTTGGTTAATATCACATCTTATTCAGCTGTTCAAGGGTGTTTTTTTACATCTGTGGATATGTATTATTCACTTGCATGATTTAGAATGGAAACAGAATAAAGCTGTTTTCTTTTTTCCCATAGAGCAACTATGAAATGGAACATGATCTCATTAAGCTGTGGACATGCCCAATTGAAAAGAACACCATAAAATAAAAACACATGATTTTAAATTAGGTTTAAAGTGTGAGTGCTACTCCTAACATGTTGGCTTTACCATAAGGTCTACTGGAGGATTGAATTCTGATGTTTTTTCTTTTGAAAATATAATGTATAATGTACTGACAGCAGTTGGAAATGGATCTTGGAGAACACTGAACATTTACATCTCTTTATAAACATAAGTATTAAGAATAAGAGTAGTCCTATACTTTATCTTTAAAAGTAAACCCATTTGTAATCATACAGAACTTAATCTGAAACATAGCCAAAAAGGAACATATGTTCAAAGCTTGTGTCGCTGATAGAATGGGGAGTCTTTTGAAGAACTCCAGCATGCAGTTTTGGTAAACATTAATATCTGCCAGATGTCTATTTTCTTGTACTTTTCTGACTCTTTTTTTTCCCTATTGGGACTGACATCCACTTGTTTTCTACAGTCATTATATTTCTGTCTCTACACTATGTATGTGAATAGTATATTATCACACCCTGGAGCTGACAGCTATAATTACAATGAATCCTCTTATATGGAGTCGCCAGGCACTGTAAATGGGAAAGCTTCGATGTCCAAATTAAGTCCCAGCTCAGTAATTAGTCTGGAAGTCCAGGAAAGATTCTGGAGAGATTTGGATTTAACATAAGAGGCAAAACATGATTGAGATTTTGCCCAAAAAGCATACGGCCCTGAATCCATTCTAACCTTTCTTTAAAATGTTTAGAGAATCTTTTCAAGTGATCTTAAATGTGTCAGCTTCACAGAGTTTAAAATCAATTTTCTGTCTTATTGATTAAAAACCTGAAAGCATTGAGGAGGGAAGTTTCATATGAGTGTATCTTCCCTAAAGTGTTTACTAAGCATTCAGAATAAAATGAATGGAATTTTTTTGGTGTATGCTATAAAGTTGTTATATTACTGAATATAAATGTGGTTAAACTCTAAACTTTCTCTTGTATGATAAATCAGTCACATTTAGAAATAAAAAAATCATTGTTGTCAAATATTTTTTATCTTCTGAGCATTCTGCTACTAAGGCATTCCACCTCAAAAAGGCTTCAGGCTAGTTAGACTTTGTGCCCAAACTCCTGCCTTAGTTACACAGGTGGAATCATATTAACATCAGTGGCAAAATGCAGTGGAATAACCAAGAAGCTAGTCTGCCTTTCTGCACAAGGCTTCTTTTTTTGTCCACTAATCAAACACTTTATATGCTTTTCTTCCCTCTAGGATAATGCTCCCTATCTGACTAAACTGATCTTTCCAACTAAGTCCCCATTACATTCACAGTCCATCTGCCATACTGACTGTTTAATCCCTGGGCCCTTCAGTCATTTGTCTTCTATCTTATGTGATGGTCATGAGGGTTCTTGTAGACCTTACAGTGGCAACGCTTTGTATAATAAGGTGAGCCTTCTGTGCTGCAGTTATCTTGTATTATGTATGATGTAGTTCAGAATTCTTTTGTTGCACTGGAAAATAAATGGTCAAAGTGAATGGAGTTTGAATGTGGATTTAAACTACACCCCTATGTGGTGAGAAGTCAATATGCGCTGGAGCAAGATTTATGCAGGCTTAAAAAAACCTCAAATATGAAAATCTGGTAATCTAAACTCTGTTAAACTTTCCAAACATTTTTATTCACTCAGTAATTTACGGTGTAATATTTTCAAGGTTGCTGCTTCATATGGGGACAATTTTAATGACTGGTTCATAGGACCATAGAAGAAGAATGACTTTTTGTGCTAAAGTGGAAATAGGGGACAATTTTAATGACGGGTTCATAGGACCATAGAAGAATGACTTTTTGTGCTAAAGTGGAAATTTGCTACCACTAATTTACAGCAAAGGCTTTTGTAGAGACTGTAAGAAGCCCTGTATTTGAAAAGGAAGAGGGATGTTCCAGAGAGTTAGGCAATCAGTTCAGAATCCTTATTAGTATAAAGAACAAGCAACTTCATTGAACTCCTCCATGCTTGTTGGACACTCACTATTACAGGTTGAACCTCTCTATTCCGGCACTCTCTTGTCTGGCAACATCCATGGTCCGACATGATTTTAGTTAGTCGTATGTCCACTTATCATGAGTGTGTCCAAGTATCTCACAGTCCATAAAGTTTATTTACAGCTACCAGTCCTGGTTCTCATGTTCTGTGATGTTATTTAGCTCTAATTTACCCTTAAATGTTTTGTAAGAGCCCTGTAAGCAGTGGAAGTGTTGGTAATGCTACCAGACAATATTGATCTCCTGTGGTTTGGCAAATTCTCTGGTTCAGCACCGGTCAGGTCCTGAATGTGCTGGACTACAGCAGTTCAACCTTTATAGACTTCTTGTTTTTCATTATTTTCTTTACTTAAGAACATAGCGCACAGTTTGCTATTTCCCTTGAATTTCTATGGCAGATGAATTTTTTAAATTTAGCACAAAGATTCAAACTAAAATTGCTAGTAAACAGAAAGCAATTCCTCCCTGAAAAACCAACCTCCCCCCAAGCAAATTATGCTTCATACTGTTTTAAATGCCTTATGAATCCTGAGCAGCAGGAGTTGCAAAGTACTCTCCCTGAGTGAGAGCACTCTGTAGATATTTTATAAAAATACAGAGCAGAATGTTTATGTTGCTGCCGTTCTAAGGAAACAATTTATTTTATACAAGGGGCAGTAGCTGTTAATACAGAGCAACATTTTCAATGTTTGGCACCTAAAATTGGGTTTCTATATCTATTTTTAGGCAGTTGAATAAAAGTGGTCTAACTTTCAAAGCTTTTAAACACTTGCAGCTCTTAGGGTACTTCTGTGTAGTCCATGTCAGTGACTAACTTGGCTAACCTGGGCTCATGGAGCTCATGCTACAAGTAGCTGTATAGACACTGCAGTTTTGAAGAAGTTTAGGAAAGAGGTAGAATTCAAATCCCCAGCTCCAGTCCAAACTCCACGGTGATGTCTACATGGCTATTTTTAGTATGGCAACTTGAATCCGAGTTTATTGACCAGGCTGTGGGATTGCTGCTGATATGTAGGCTTATCCTGTATGACTTATTGGGATATATGGGTTCTCAGTATTTCTGAAAATCAGGCCACTTCTAACTGGGGGCCTAATAATAGATTTAGGCGTGTAGCTTTAGGTACCCAGTTTTGAAAGTGTTGGTCATATGGTGTATTTGGAAATTTTCCTACTTGTGTCAGTTCTGTGTTCACCAACACTCATCCATCATTATTTCTTTTTTTGCATTTTGAATTTAAATGGATCAGCATTTACCCAACAACCTGTCATGCAAATGAGATAGAAGTGTAGACTAACAGAAAGATATCAAATCTACACTGAAAGCTACAATTTGAGAATCTGTCTGTCTTATGTATGGATCCTGGCCCACATGGAACAAAATATCTCATTGGCATACAGCTGGCAGGCGAAGTAGAGCCTGCTTCTGTGTAAATTGCATTACCTTCCTTGGGCAGGGGATGTGATGGCACAGGGCATGGAGCAGAGTTTAATTACACCAAGTTTCCCCTTGCTTCAGATCCCCTGCAGTGGTTCAAATAAAGATACTTCATGAACTAGCACCTGTGTGTGGCTCAAAGCTAGGTTGAGAATAAGTTCTGCAATAGTGTGTTCTAGAGCTTCCTGTCTAAGAAGTTGTAAGATAAATACCTTGTCTAAACTCTGGCCATTTTGCCATTAGGATTCGTTTATATGTGGGTAGTTGAAGTTTCCCATTATTAGCATTCCCATTAAACTTCGCTGCTGATCATCTCTCTCTTGAAGCCGTGTACCCAATATCTTAATTTTGAGTAGAAATAAAATGCATTTACAAAACCAAACAAACACATGACTCAAATGCTAGTTATGTCATACTGGGGAATGCTGTGATTTTTTGTGAATTAATCTTTGGTACCAGACAACTACAGCAACATTAGAATCAATTGTTTACCTTGTGAATCAACAAATCTCAATGTTCACGTCAGCCATCGTCTATACTTCCTTATTATATTTCTCAAAATAATGAACATCCCCTCCTAGGCATCACCCAGCTAGCATTTATGCTATGTGTTTGTTTTAAGACGACATATTTTAGTTTGTTAATGTGTAGATCTAGTAAAGATGGGGAAAAATACAGTAAAATAGTATCAGTTACAGAACCAGAAGGGTAACAAACAAACTGTTCAAAATTGAAAAAAAATATTGAAATAGTAATAAATACGGAAAGTGTGAAATTATGCTCCATCGAATATATCCTGTAGTACTGTTACCTTAAAGATTTGTAACAAGCATAATTTTTCTTAATCATTTTTATTTTTTTCTAATCCCTTTCATTCAGTGATTAGGCTTACTTTAAACCTCTAGAAATCAATGACAAGAGCTGACAAGACCTACAGTAGTATGTTAGTTAAAATATTCAGCTACTATATGAGGGTATGTCTACACTACAAAGTTAGTTCGAACTAACAGACGT